CTTCCAGGCTCATGGATTAGAACAAATACTATTAAAATACCTATACTACCCCATGCAATCTACACACCCAATGCAAGCCCTATCAAAATACCAAGAGCATTTTTCACAGAACTAGAACAAACAATCCTAAAATGTGTATGGAACCACAAAAGACACCAAATAGCCAAAACAAAGCTGGAGGCACCACAATTTCGGACTTCACATTTACATTACAAAGATGTGGTGATCAAAACAGTATGGTATCAGCACAAAAATACACACACAGATCAATAGAACAGAATGGAAAACCCACAATTATTTGATCAATTAATTTATGACAAAGGACGCAAAAAATATGCAAGGGGAAAAAGACAGTCTCTTTAACAAATGGTGTTGGGAAAAGTGGACAGCTACGTGCAAAAGAATGCAAATGGACCACTTTCTTATACCATACACAAAAATAAATTCAAAATGTATCAAAGATCTAAATGTGAGAACTGAAACCATAAAAATCCTAGAAGAGAGCATAGGCAGTGATTTCTCTGACATCAGCCATAGCATTTTTTTTCTAGATAGGTCCTCTGAGGCAAGAGAAACAAAGGCAAAAATAAACTATTGGGATGACATCAAAATAAAAAGTTTCTGCACAGCAAAGGAAACAATCAGCAAAACTAAGAAGCAATCTATGGAATGGGAGAAGATATTTGCAAATGACATATCTGGTAAAGGGTTACTATTCAAATTATACAAATCAACACCCAAAAAACAAATAATCCAAATTAAAAATGGGCAAAAGACATGTTTCCAAAGAAGACATCCTGACGGTCAACAGACACATAAAAAGATGCTCATCATCACTTACCATCAGGGAAATGCAAATCAAATTACAATGAGATATCACCTCACACCTGTCAGAATGACTAAAATCAGCAACACAAGAAACAACAGGAGTTGGTGAGGATGTGGAGAAAAAGGAACCCTCTTGCACTGTTGGTGGGAATGCAAACTGGCGCAGCTACTGTGGAAAACAGTATGGAGGTTCCTCAAAAAGTCAAAAATAGAACTACCCCTACCATCCAGCAATCTCACTACTATTTACCCAAAGAATACAAAAACACTAATTCAAAGGGATACATGCACCCCTATGTTTACAGCAGCGTTATTTACAATAACCAAGATCTGCAAGCAGCCCAAGTGTCCGTCACTGATGAATGGATAAAGAAGATGTGGTACATATATGCAATGGGATATTATTCAGCCATAAAAAAGAATGAAATATTGCCCTTTGCAATGACATGGATGGAGCTAGAGAGTATAATGCTAAGTGAAATAAATCAGTCAGAGAAAGACAAATACC